TAGGATTGACTAAAGTGACTTAATTGGTTTATGTGCTATACCTATTCCGAACAGCTTCAATAATCTCTTTGTAATTTTTGATATGTCTTTTATATATGGTAGGATGATCCATTTGTTGGCTTCTGTATTTGATTTTTGTTTCTGTTGATGTATCGGATTGTGTTATATCCTAGTGAAGATTAAATTACGGGTAACTTCTGAGAACTATTAATGGATTAATATTTTATATATATTCTTATTGTATAACTATTCAGTAATTGGATTGTGTATATCTATACTCCTCTTATTATAAGCTTCATTTTGATCCAAAGATTATTATTGTGCGATTCACTGTTCTTATGTTCAGTTTATTGATTACAGTCTCGCTTATTCACATCCACTTGTATAAATGTTTCCTATTTTATGGCATGATTCGGTCTGTTTGACTGATATATAAGACAAGTATGCTTGAAATAAATGATTAGCATAGTGGAAGCTGGTATTGGTGTTCTGGATTCAAGTGGACGAGCTAGGAGAACATAGGACCAATAAGGACGCTAGGCTGCTCATACCGGTTGAACGTCATTGGTTTAGCACAGTGTGAAGATTGAATAAGTTGTTTTTCAATTGGCGAATAAATCACGTGATAACTAGCTGGGCTTAAAGTCGCAACAGTTTGATTCTCTTTGATCAAGTTCATTAGGTAGCCGTTGTTTTTAAAAATAGTCTTTAGATATTTTTCCGAGCTGCAAGTGTGTTCTTGCTCTCTTGAATAAAATTTCCAATTTTCCTGTGTTGGTTCTGGTGATTATACATCCAAAAATGATAGTTTTTTGTTTGAATCCGTTCCCATTGTGAATTTTATGTCATCTAAGATGTTGTTGATTAGATTGTAGGTGTTTTCCAGATCATCTTTTTTGACAATGACGAATGTGTTGTCTAAATAATGAATCCAAATTGTTGGTTTGATTACTGGTAAGATCAAGGCTTTCAGTCTCTGAATCACTCCTTCTGTAATAACTCTTAATATTAGTGATCCCATCGGTGCTCTTATCGTTTGTTCGTAGATTTTATGGTTGAATTGAAAGAATGTTGTTAATCATAAGTCGACGAGTTCTAGTAGACTTCAACTTTAAAGCTTCATGTACTTTGGATGATTTGTGTCGTTGTTGAGGAGCAGGGATAGTTTCATTTGCTAAACTTGGTCCAATTAAAATGAATAATTCTGTTAACAAGTGTCTTAGACAATACATTAAAAATTTGGCTGTTCACTCCCTTGTTGTGTTGGATATAAGTTAGAATTTTCTGTTGCAATAGCCGTCCAGCTTTACCAACAAGGAGTTCTCAGATGATTTTAAGTCAGTGAACAATACATGAATTCTAAATACTAAGTATAATATACCAAGACTGAGATTAAATCTCTTCGGAAAGAAATTAAGTGGTTATCTCTTATCATCTAGATCTTGCTGTCACATTTTTCTTACGCTCCAACATGACCCACCACCAATCATCAGTAATAACGAAGACTTTATTGTTTTCATCAGTCACTAGCTATTGTTTCGCTTATTTTAAAGACTGATTAATTTTTACTGACATGCATAGTGATACGCGTATTTTCATAAACATTCATTTAGGCGTAACAGCAGACAAGAGTAATTGTTGTGTTATTAATAGATGGTCTTCATTCTCTAAATTCTAAGTAACATATTTTTATTTTCTCTAGGTTATATGCTCTAGATGGAGAGTAATGATAGGCGGCCTATACTCCTCCACGAGGAGTAACAAGCGTAAGTAAGTAAAGTAAAGTATGCATTCTGACCTATTTAGTGTAATCATGTGTCATTCATTAAATTCTAAACATTATGAAAAGCATCAAATTGAGAAAGAAATGAACTATCAGAATCTATTTACAAGCAAATAACAACTTATTCTATTCACATCCATTACTTAGAAAAATATGTTACCATGGCAATATTGACAACTCTATAACTCTATTACCATTACTAATGTTCTATTGTATTAAATATTAGCTTTTTCTTTCTATTATATCAAATTAATGATTAATGACAAATCTCTAAGAGCACTAACCGAGTATATTTGTATTGGAATCAACTTCTCTAAACTATTAGTTTGAATTCTTTGTAACTAGGTCATGCAGTAAACAATATACATTTATTGATTTAGATCAGTTTATTAGCCAATGATAAATATCTTAAACCAAACACAAGGTCATTAAATTAACCAATGATATCAGAGATAGCAATGCTAATGACAAATTGCTTGTGGTTGAGATAATGAATCTAAGCTTGGTTATTTCATTGATAGATATATTGTCTTGCTTATTCCATGTAAGTAGTGAGTTTCAACATTTTGTATGTTCTGAATTTATTTTGTATAAAAGTGTTCTTGTTCATTTAATATTTAAAATAAACTAGTAAGTTGAATTCATGGATCAATCTAAGCCAGACCACCATTCAAGATCTGAAAGTATTGGACGGCCGTTTCGTTCTATTATGGAACTCCTTAGCAGTGTACATCCACGATCTCACATGTGACACTCGAACCAGACACCTTCAATTTTGTGCGTGAATGTTTAGTCTCTAGACCACTTAACCGGCATCCAACAGTGTTAGTGTCTAACTTCAATCGATTCATAATGTTCCGAAACCCTTGATCCATTGACTGAGACCGAAGGTCCTAGTTCGAGTCCCGCACGCGGGATCATGGATTCGCATTGTTCAGAAATTCCATACTAGGAATAAACGATCGTCTAATGCTTCAAGTTTTTGAATGGTGGCCTAGCTTAGATTGACTCATGAATTCAACTATTAAAATTACTACAATCTCCACTATTCCCCATTTTGATGATAATCATGTACTCACTAGTGACTGGCTTCAAGTTAGATTTCTTGGAGTTGTAGTGAGAAGCTGTAACTAGTGGAGTAAAATCCCCGTCGGAAAGAGACTGGTATCTACTTCAGGTAACGGATGAATGGTTGCGTAATATCATGGATTGACTGAAGTTAGACATTAATACCGTTGGATGTCGGCTTAGTTTAGTAGAGTTTAAGTGTTTGCATGTGAGACTAAAGGTCCTAGATTCGAGTGTCTCATGTGGGATCGTGAATGAGCACTGTTCAGGAGTCCCATATTAGAACAAAATGACCTTCCACCTTTTGAATGGTGGCTTAGTTTAGATTAACTCATGAATTGAACTGTTAAAAATATTATAATATTCGCAAATCCCCTTACTGATATCTAGTAGGTGTATGCTAGCATTATATCCAGTCATGTTGATGTTAACAAGTGTTGTTCAAACTAACCACAAATCTGACTTGAAATGACCAATAATCTATTACATTAAGTTTGCTAAAAGCAGTCAGGATTCAAATCCTTCAAACCCTAGAAATGAATGACATATAATTTAAGAAACTTTAACTGTGGCATCAAAAGAAGTAGGTTTTAAATTTTGTTCGGTATTAGCCACTAAAAAGTTATTGACAAGAGTATTTATAGCTTACCCAACTTGGTTTTAGAAATATGCCAATTTTCTTGCAATGGTGCCCCCAAATGCCCTGGTACGGCCAAGAGTGGGGAGAGTACGCTCTCCCTCGCCAAATGCTCTCAAATGGCCACGCGTATATAGCCTCTGCCAGGGAAGTCCTACTCATTGCCTTCTCGTGGCGGTGTACTTTACGAAATTGAGAGGATGAACAGTGAATATCCGACGCTTTAACCGGGTTGGTGGACGCGGATAGTTCACGTAGGGGAGTTAGAAAACCTTGATTCCAAACCAATGATGCACATTGACTCCAATATCCTGAGGGAACAAATGGCGTATGAATCAATTATTGGTTACCGGCTACCATGGTGCTCCATCCCCTTACGATGCTCCACTGCCTTATGGATCAAACCTTTAGGTCAAAAGTTCCGGGTGTGGCCCCCTAAGGAAACCACCTGCTTTGGTTTGGGCACCCGGGCAGTATCACAGCCCTCAAATGAATCAAATGAGATTTTTGTGGCACATTTGTATTTGGAGCCTCCTTGTAGCAATATCTATGTGTTCAAATAAAATAAAATAAAACTGGCAAGAGTTTGTTTATTTTAATAAGTGTTGGATATTAGCTATCTGTGTGATTTATTACCCGTGTTTCATTCTGTTTAATAATCATCAACCAAGTATATCTGTACTCAATATCAATATCGGGGAAATCAGCACAGGATTATTTATTTATTTAAGCACATAAATATTGGTACAAAGAGGCACCAGATATATATGCGCCACAGAAATAGGAGTGTTCATAGTATATTCAGTAATCATTGTCATTTCATTTTAATTGTATGAGGATTATGATACTGCCTGGGTGTCCAGACCGAAGCAGGTGTTTCTCTTAGTGAGCCACACCCGGAGCCTTCGACTTAAAGGTATGATCCACAATGCAGTGGAGCATCGTAAGGAGACGCAGTCCGACGGTAGCCGGTGAGTAACGAATAGTTTATACGCCATTTGTCCCCTCAGGATACTAGAGTCCATGTAAACCATTGGTTTGGGGTTACCCAACTCTCCTAGGTGAACTCTCCGCATCCACCAACCCGGTTAAAGCGCCGGACATTCACTTTTCGTCCTCTCAATTTCTTAAACTACACCTTGGCGGCGCGTGAAGACAATGAGTAAGTCTTCCCTGATTGAGGCTATATACATGCGACCATCTGAGAGCATTTGGTGAGGTAGAGCATACTCTCCCCACTCTTGGCCGTATCAGGGCATTCGGGGGGCATAGGATTGATTTATAGTCCATATCATGAACGAAAAAATTTTAAACAATCAATTCACATGAATCAATAGTTTATTTAGCCCTTATATTTTGTTGCTATACTTTACATAATTTTTTTTTCTTCACTTTTATAGATTATTACTAGTTAACATTAGAAAAAATAAAATATTAATCTATATTCCTGAAAATCAGTATTACATAATTATCTCAATAAGTAATCATTTGTAAATATTTCATTATTATCTCATGTTTTATTATTTTGCATTTGGAAGTAATTTATTAAAAGAACGTATACAATTAACAAATAAATCAGCTCAATATGTTGGTATTGGTGTTTTAGAAGATTATATTTTATCATTTGGTGGATTTAGTAATAATTGGTTTGGTGCTACAGCAACAATTCAACCATCACCTTCTAAATATGTTATGGGTACTGTATGGAAAATGTCTATCAATGATATGAAAACATTAGATTTACAAGAATCTGTACCAATTATATATCAACCTGTTGAAATTTCAATTCATCTTTTCTCGGATAAATCTTCAATTATACATTGTAGAAGTTATATTTTAAATTCATTTGAATTAGGTGATCCATCACCATATTATTTAGATATAATAATTCGTGGAGCTATTCAATCTCAACTACCTCAATCATATATTGATCAATTAAAAACAATTAAACATAATGGATATTTAGGAAAATGTAATCTATATATGAATATTCTTAATAATATACCAATATCTGAACGTTATATATATCATATATCAGATTTAAATAGATTACAATTAGAATAAATGTTTAGTATTTTTTATACTTTTAGAAATTCTCATTATGTTTATAGTGGAAAAGTTAACTTTCAAGGTACATACATATACTACTATTCATTTTAGTTTTAACCGGAAGTTATTTGAGAACATAGAATGATCTTACTGTTACAATGCTTCTTTAGTATTTAAGGTTTAAATTCTTTTATTTTAGAAAGTTACTTACTTACGCCTGTTACTCCCAATGGAGCATAGGCCACCGACCAGCATTCTCCAACCCACTCTGTCCTGGGCCTTTTGTTTCTAGTTCCATCCAATTCTTGTTCATTTTTCTCATATCTATCTCCATTTCCCGGCGTAATGTGTTCTTTGGTCTTCCTCTCCTCCTCCTTCGACCTTGAGGATTCCATGTGAGGACTTGTCTTGTGATGCAGTTTGGTGCTTTCCTCAATGTGTGTCTTATCCATTTCCAGCGCTTCTTCCTGATTTCTTCATCCACTGGGATCTGATTTGTTCTCTCCCATAGTAGGTTGTTGCTAATACTGTCTGACCTACGGATCCGAAGTATTTTGCCTAGACAGCTATTAATAAACACTTGTATCTTCTGGATGATGGATTTCGTAGTTTTCCAGGTTTCCGCCCTATACAGTAGAACTGTCTTGACATTTGTATTGAAAATTCTGACTTTGGTGTTGGTTGCCAATTATTTTGAGTTCCAGACTTTGTCAACTGTCCTCCATGAACGATTTTGCAGTTTAATCCATCGTAGGAATTCCGTATGATATTGACTATCTTCTGAGGCACGCCGTAGTGTCGAAGAAGCTTCCATAGGGTTGTTTTGTCCACTCTATCAAATGCTTTTTCGTAGTCAATGAAGTTGATTTAGAGTGATAAATTCCATTCAATTGATTGTTCCACAATGATCCGTAGAGATGTGATTTGGTCTGTGCACGAAAGTAGCTGATATTATAAAATGAACACTGGAAATTTAACAGATAACTATTTGAAACAGAAGTCATTTTGACTGATCTATTTCTTTTTTTTAGATATTACAGCTAACTGAATTATTAATAATCAATCGTAAATAATATAAACATATTAGTTGGTAATTGCTAGGTTTGAAGCTTCATGAGTTCACTTAATCTGCGGACGAGAACAAGACTCAGTGTCCAAAGACTATTAAGCTAGCTATTGATGCGTCCCACCCCCGTTATCTAGAGGGAGAAGTCCAAGCTTAGAATGGGAAGTGTATTCTGTAACAGCCAGAAAACGAGCGAGCTCAACAAACACAATTTAAAACGTATATATATATATATATATATATATATATATATATATATATATATATATATATATATATATATATATATATATATATATATATATATAGTGCCATGGAGCTTTTAAACATTTAATCGATAATTTCGTCAATAGACTATGTGCGTGGGTTGTAAAAAATGCCCACGCATAAATTTTCATACAAGCTCCACAAGATAAAATTACAAACTATGAGTTTTGGGGGATCTATTGTCCCCAACACTAATAAATAATCGTCTCAGCATGGGTAATTAGGTTACTATATGGTAATTAATGGGACTTTTGTAGGGGGGCCTTTATTTTGTCGTCATTTAAATCGGACGATATTTGTTGACAGGCTCTCCACTTTAATGGCCCGATATCTGACACCAAGTAGATCATATGCATGTTTGTTATCACCTATCCTCGCATATAATCACTGACTTAAATCGCGTTAGTAGTTAATAACGGAATTAAATAAGTCAAATAACGAGAATGGACTTTTGAATGCATATATTTTGTATATATGAAGCGAACGGAATAGAGAGAAGCGGAACGACGTGCAGTAGAGATAGCGGGTGAGCCAACACCCCTTTAACCAAGTATTAAGCAATATTTGTAGTCACATAAAAATAAGTTACAGACATGTGATGAGTAATGGGATAAGAATTGTGCACACACCTACGCGCTCATATAAAAACTGTTAAGATTGATAAGTGAATAATTAGCAAGTTCAGAATGTAACTCAAGTAGAATGAATAGATTGAGCTGTCCGAAAGCTAGAATAAGATGTATGGTTTTAACATAATAACAGACACTACAGGACTTTATAAATGAATACGTCCTCAGATAAATAGCAAGTAGATTAAGAATCTTGTTCAAAGTTTTGTAATACATTTTATACATTTTAATTAATTAACATATCTAAATGCGTGTAGGTGGGATAATCTGCAGTAAAGTGATTTGTTCTATGTTAACCGTTTCATTCTTCAATCAGGAATGTTATTTACTGTATAGATTTTATTACTGATATCGGATTAGTTTTCTTTCGGTAGGAAAATTGTAAAGTGGATAAATCAGTTTCGAAGGCGGATTAAATCTATGGGAAATTAGGTAAATCTCTACAAAAACTATTTATGGATAAAAATGCAATATACAGGACAGACAAGTCACTGAAAATTCAGCGGGTATAACAAAGATTGTTTGATCCATATGAATTATGGATCCAATGGTCTACATTTTTTAAACAATTAGTTGTATCTTTTTACAGATAATCTTTATTGATCATTAAGTCATGTAAACTTGGAAACTATATACAAAGTTTCATTTATTGAACATCGAAAGTGAAGTTATAAGTTTTGTAATGATCAATTTTTTAAGCAAAGATGGATAGTGACTAGCAGTGGAATGCAGTTTGACGCTCGTTTCGTCCCATTTTGGGATTCATCAACTAGATGTACATGCATCTCAGAGTTGATATTCACTCTGGGACACGAACCTAGCACCGTTCGCTTCAAACGCCATCACGTTGTCCACTTAGCTACTGAGTCCATAGAATGCTTGTGAATTAAGGCAATATGCACATATGCCAATAAGAGACTGATCAATTGCGGTCCTAAACATCAATAGGAAGATTCAAGTAAACAATACTAATTTATCGATTTTTTTGGTTTAAAAATATGACGCTGAAGTACTATTAACATTTTGTTATGCAGTGACTGATTGTCTGTCAAGTGTTTTATGAGTAGCTAAATTGTAGTAATTGACATTTTATAAAAGAGACTGGCTACGGATAGTAGTAGTGTTATTCAGGATGTAGGTGTTTTCCTGTCTGGGATTCATCAGCTTCATGCACTGGTATCCCAGTGTTTATGTTCACTCCGACACTCGAACACGGTATCTTTGGCGCCATACGCTCATCTACTGAGTCCAGATAGTCACTGACTTGTCCAACGTGTATGATGTTTATATCATTATTAGTATAAGTTTGGATTATCCCATTGTTCAAACTGCTTACTTAAATTAAATTGGTTTCGGTTGGTTAATGTGCGGAATGTATCGACATAACCATTTTTATAAGTTTCTATAACAACAATCAATATACTCTCGGGATATACTATGGTAACGGATATCATCAGATGTTCATTGCATCTAATTGTACATTAATTTTCTTCTAGAACATGTCTATGTTTCAATCAGTTGCAAAGTACTCATTATGTTGTTTTATGGTATTTTCAATCACTTTCACTATAAATAAACTCTTACTTTGCTCGATAAAGCATATTAAGATAGTTTTGACTCATGGCTATACTTGATAAAATGGAAGCTACGACGTATAGTTCTAATATATTGAAAGTACATTGTAACATGTAGAAACTTTCAGTTATTTATTAACCTGCAAATTAATTTTCTGTATAAGAATGATCGAATGCTAACCAAGCTAATAGTGAGTACCATCTTGTATAGTACAAGTGGAGACAATCGAATGTATTTGAATTCAAAATTACAAAACACCTTACTAGAATCTGAGAGCCATACAGTAAATATTTCATTTGCAAAATATCAATCCATCATCTCAGACTTGATTATTCCTGCATTTTAATATCAATTACTTTCTGTTCCCGTTCTTTCCTTCTCAACTTTCTGCTACCGGACATTCTTATCCTGACTATTGTTATATACTACTCATGTCGATATTAGTGGCACACACCATACTTATTCTATGTATTAAGTTTACAAATAAAGAGTCGTTTTATCTACCTACGAATGACCAATAATCATATAGACTTTCTACTTTACAACTGCTTTATTTCTCAATCTATGACTATCAAGAAATAATGGATTCATTCATAATGCCTGAATAATCTTATAATCTAATGTAATATTCACTATTTAATCTGTTTTATTGATGAAGTTGTAAAGAAATGTTAATACATGTAATAAGAAATACAATGGAATTGAATTAATTATGAACAACTGAGTCCTAGTGATTTGTTTCTTAGAATGTATTCGGGGATAGTAGTTGTATGGTTCATTATGCTTTCAATGAAATTGATTGTTTCACAGTTACTTCTTCTAATATGGACAAAATCGGGTTTAGGGAATGTATCGGGTTGTAGACGAAGAAAATCATAGCCTAATATGAGTATATTATAAAGAGGATAGTTGAATGTCAATTCACAAGCAATAACAATTCCCGAAAACTAATGGGTAGCTCAACTGAAATGATGAACTTCCCAACAATGAGAATTTCAAGAAATTCACCGGAGAAAAATGCAATGTAAAAGAGCTACAACTGAGTATCTCTTATTTTACTCTATGAGACATCATGTTTGAGCAAACAATCAACTCCCTTATAATTAGTTCCGTTTATGAATTTAAATAAAGCTAGAACAAACATGGATGCAGAATAATATAAATTTTGCATTTCCGAGCATGTTCCAAAGAACTTAAGACTGAGAGGCTCAGTGGCTCTTAACCGTGCAATGCTTCGGTATTTACTTGATACTGGGCAAACCATTGACATTCCCCAAGCCTTCACAAAGGAACACTGCTTCTCTTCGGTTTGGTGAAGCGAATGCGATGAGAAAAAAACTCAAACATGATTTATGTATCCAAAAAGAGACAGTAATAAGCCTATTACTACTCTGGTAAATCATTTTTTGGTTATTGATTTTATTTTGCTATGTGTTCTTCCCTTACCAAATTCTTATTTAAACCACCCATTCACTCAA